CCTGGTTGATTCTATGATTCTGTGAGATAGGTATAAAGCACACATATTATTTCCTAAAGCTTTTCGTCATATCTCTGAACTGTATTGTGCACATAAATGAATGGTAATTTCAGTGGAGAACCAGTAAAATTCTATATTTGTGGGTCAAATTGTTAGTAGAGAAGTAAAATCTCTAGTTTTTTGTTGCTTGCCTTGGAGAGGAAGTCATATGTCAGAAAAAGTTTTGATATTGATGGTAGTGATTTACTTTGGCTCTTTAGTCAATTAACGTGTGTGTGTATATATATATATAGGACCATTTCAAAACTAAGTATAGATCTTACCACAAACCACAATTTATCTTCTGTTTTCCTTGCACAAGACTTAAGAAAGTACTTTAGCTCTGAAATACAAATCAAAAGCTGATACGAAAACAATAGTCTTTTTTTCCCCCCCTATTGTTCAGTTTCTGCATGAGAGCAAGATGTGAGTTGAGTAAATGTGTAGGAGGCAATTCTCTGAGCAGTCACACATTTGTTCCAAATATACCCCCAAAATTACTGGGCACTCTGGGGGTTAAATAAATAATAATTACTTTTGGGAAAGAATTTTTAAAATAAAAATAGATTTTTTGTTCAGGAAGTCTTAAATCTCCATCACGTTATCTCTGGTGCAGGTCTGGTGGGAAGTTATTTATTGCATCTTTCTTACCAGTCTTCAAAAATAATCTTGAGCATCTTTTAAATTGAAAGATGAGTTACTGCTTTGATTTAAATAACTGTTCCAATAAGCAAGTGTAAAGGAAGTATTTGGAACATAGTTGGAGTTGTTTGTTATGCTAGCTAGGTCTTCTGTAGTAACTGAACTACTACTCAAAGCTTGGCAGTCATGTAGTGACAGATCTGACTGGGACAGCAGAAGCTGCTCTCAATACCAGTTGTCTAAATTCCTTCTGGCCTCATGCCCAAGTCTGGAATGTCTGATCCACTTGCAAAGCAGTTGCCAAACGCTGCAGAGATGAGCGTCTTCATGTAGCCTGAACTGTTGGCTCGTGGCGTCTGCTTCATGAGTGGGGCAGACATCCTTGCGTTGTTAGGTATCGGCGTCTGCTAGAGAAGTAGGGTGAATATCTGAGAACAAAAGTGTGCCTACTTGTCCAGTTCTCTGTGCCTGACCCCTGTATTTAATCTCTTTGATTAGCTATTTTTATAAGACAAGTGACAATTCTTGAGTGTGCTGTGATATACTGTAGGAAAAAGCTTATTTAAAACGCTTGAAAAGTGCTACTGGTGTAACTGGAATGGAAACTTGTTATGGCTTGTCTCCACAGAAGTCAGGGTAGTGTAGTCTTGGGGCATGTTGTTTGATATGACTTTGGTAGAGTTAAACTTGGAATCTCCTTATTCTGGGAATCTGATTCTTCTCTATAACTTGCCTAATTAGCAGAACTGTGCTGGGGAGTAATTACCTTAAGGTGTTTTTGTTATTTAAGATACAGAAATCTGTTTTGGGAGGTTTTGAGCATCTTAGTAGAAGAGCACAGCAAGTTAAAATTTAATGACTTTTGATTTAGTTATATTGCAGCTATAACAATTGATTACTTGCGTGGAGTAATATATTTAGCTGTCCTAAATGCAGTATATGCACTAGTAAAAAATTATTGCTTGTCCTTGTGTTTGATTATTTTTTCCATTTTTCTATCTCTTTCTCCTTCTATTTTTGTCCATATTCCTCAGCTATGTTATCACCATCACATGGTGTTCCCCTGCACATGTTTCTCAAGTTCACTCATGATCTTTCTCCTTTGCATATGCCTCACTGTTACTTGGCTTCCCTGCCTGCTGGGACATGTTGGCGAGCCATCTGGGCTTCCTTTATTCCTCTCTTCTCTGAGCGTGTCTTGCCTGATGGTGGCTGTCAGCAAGGTCCAGACTCAGTGGTGCCATTGCCATCTGTGATGGCTTTTGCTTATCCTTGTATATTGGTAGAGATCAGTTTCTTCTGCCTTTCTCTGTTAGGCTTCCAGGCTCTCTGCAGCACAGTCTAGACACCATTCTGAAGAACAGCAAACGTCTTTAATTGGTTTTCTGTAAGTTGATAATGGTCCACAGACCAGAGGTTGGGAACAGTTTTATTTTACCTTTTGACTGCAAGGAAGGCAAGATTCCCCTACCTATTTGGGGAAGCTCAGTTTGGAGAGTTTGTGGTAAATTTTATGAAGTCACACTTTAGTAGAAATACCAGATGTTTGTTTCTGCCCTAGTCGAGTTTGTAACATACTTTACTTGCAGACATAAACATTGCCTTTGGCAAGAAAGTTCCTACTTGGCTTTAGTACTAGCAGGTACAAGCAATTTGATATTTTTTTATAAACTCAAGAAAATTCTCTCCGTAGGCATGTTTGCCTTTCCATAATCCTGCTAGTGTTTAGGCTGTTCTGTTCATAGGGGACCTTGAAGTAGGTGGGAATACTGTGGGTGTCAGCTTAAAACAGTGTATTCTCTCTGTGTTCTCTCAAGCAGCAAAGTCTGGAGGAGTGTGTGACTGTTCTTTGTGACATGCTAATTTGCAGATTTCCCCCAATGTAATTGTAGAAAGATGCTGACTTTGGTTGCATTCAGTGCTGATTTGCCGTAGTAAAAATCTCTGAAAAATTGGAATTTGTCGCTAGCAAGCTGTTCTGTCTGCAAGGAATGAACATTGTTCACCCCATCCTTAGTTATGTTTATACACAGTCATGGGTTGGATTTTTCTGAGCAAAATTATAATGCAGAGGTAACAGTGAAAACTGGTTTACTAAACCATATTTAAATAAAAAACCTGATTCCATTATTGATTTTAATAGAATTTTTTTTTGCTAAGGTATGTGGCCTAATAGGCAAGGAAGGGAAAACTTGACTTGAGCATAATTTTACATGACAGTTCTTATAATTCCAATATAATTGCCTGATTGCTGTAACACCCATGTGAGCTGACAGTGGGCTTAGTTTATTGGGTTTTTTTAGCTTCCAAAAAGTGAAAGATCAAATAGAGGGTGATATGTGAATCTCCAGAAGGAAATTACTGTTAATCAAGGATATAGGAGCCTAATCTCTCTTTTCCTGCCATTGAAAATCACTGCCCAACTTTTAAAGGCTTGCCTGCATCCAAGGTACAGACTGAGGGACTTGTTCTTGGCAGAACTGGTCATTAAGTACGGAAGGAGCTCTAGGTCTTTCCCTGTGCATTCGGTTTTCATAAAGTTGGAGCATGCTTAAACTACACCAGAAAAATATGCTTGTACCCATGATTTGGACAGCTTTCCTGTTTGACAGATCTATGCCAACACATTCCTTCAGACTGCACCTGTCTGCTTGTATCCCAAAAATATTAGAAAGATGCAGACTGCTGAGGGCTCAGGCCTGTACTTGCCATAATATGGAGAACCTCAGACTCCAGCTCTTTTCTTCTTTTTCTTTTCTCAGGCCTCTTTCCCGACTCTGAGGTCTTAAAGGGGTCTTCTACATTTTACTTCTCAGACTCTATTTCTTCTTAAAGTATAGTGTTTCTGCTGTTTTCAAACCCATCTTTTTTTCTGCTGTCTCATGTACTGTTGGTGGATTGAGGAGAATCCTCGTGATTACGTGTGCTCTAAGAAATTAAAGAGTGATAAGGGAAGCAGAGACCTTGGCTTTTCCATGCTTTTTCCTTTTGTAGAATCATTAAGGCTGGAAAAGACCTCTAAGATCACTGAGTCCAGCCATTAACCCAGCGCAGCCAAATCCACCACTAAACCATGTCCCCACCTGCCACATCTACAAGTCCTTTAAAGACCTCCAGGGATGGGAACTTAACCACTTCCCAGGGCAGCCTCTTCCAGTGCTTGACAGCCCTTTTGGTAGGGGTTTTTCACAACCACACAGAGAAAGTAGTGGGATTTCTGTAAGCACATGCAGGATTTAGATCTTCTAACATTTGATTGTTGCCTGTGTTACAATTCAGGCATTAGATACCTTACCTTAATTTTCCTCTCCCTCCCTCCCCTCTTTTTTCCTTTTCATTAACTGGTTGAGATGAAAGGCATTACTTCCTTACTAGTTGTCCAGGCTTTCAGGTAACTTTAGTGGTCCTGAAAGTATTAGTTCTAGTCTGCTACAGTGTTTCTTGTCTTGTCTTTTTTTTGTGTTTCTCTTTCCCGTGTGTGACTAGCTGCCTTTTGAATCAGTTGTCCTGCTGGATCTGATCCGTAGGTGCTGCTGCTGCTCCTTTTCTGTATCCAGCAGCCTTGGTAGCTACTGTGTTATATAGGAACTCTATTCTTGTGGGGCAGTAGCTTGTTGTTCTAAAACCAAAAAGATGATCATTGTCTTGAATGTTTTTATAAAGAGAGAACCAGATTGGTGTTAGAGGTAATGTAATGTCAGCTAGTACAGAAAGGAAAATGCTATAGCTGCAAATAGTTTCAATATGCCAAAAGAGCCTGATCGTTACCTCACTGGCTTTTAATTCCCTGAAAGCTAGATGGTAGAGAAGAGTACAGAGGGAAGAATAAGACAGCACTGAATGTGCATATATGTTTTGGGGGGACCTTCCAAGCACGATGAGGACTTGGGGTATACTTCTAAGTCTGTTGTGTGAGGGAGGGGATGGACGCTGGTTTACAGGGGTCTTGGGTTCACTAAGCCAGTGTTCTTGTAAAATGAAATTTGCACACAGGCTATGTATATGTTGCCCTTTTCTTTAAAGCCTTAAATTAGCTGGACTTGAGTTTCAGTGTGCAGATAATACTGCCTGAATTGCAGCAAAGACTGTGAGCTTTAAGCTCCCTCTTGTGGCTGTATAGTGCAGTTTGAACCTTACCTGTTGCACTCTGTTCTGGACAGTTTTAGAAGTCCTTAGTGTGTAATGTATTATGAAATTACTGTGATTTTTAAAATTAATGCAGGAATATGGTGTGCCATATGCTTTTCCAAGGTGCCAAAGGTCTTCTGTAACTGGACTTTGGAGAAGTAGAAGAGTTAAAATAATGTGAAGTTAGAGATCTGTTTTCTGGTTATAACCATACAGGAGGTGTCTCCCATAAAACTTTGTCTCTCTTGTTAGTGGTGCCATAGTTTGCAGCTGATACCTCTGAATGTGCTCTTAAGTTTACAGAACAGGGAAAATAGATAGGATCTCCATATGCCAAACTCAAATGTTAATGCAGCATTAGTTTGAGATCAGGTAGCCTTGATTTGGTGCTCTTGCTCCTGGAATGGGAATCTAAATTACCCCAGACTTGCAAATCCCAATGGATTCCTTCATACATGGCTATAATTAGTGAGACTTCACGAGACTCCAGAGCTGTGAGCTGCAAGGTAGTACTGTTGAAAGGGAAATATCACTCCACTATTTTTCTCTCCGTCGTTGCACTGGCTCTGGCACTTGTCTTGCTTCCTGATGCTTAGTAGTACACAAGAGTGCTCATTTCCCTTGCCCCTGCTTCCCTCCTCCCACCCTCACCTCCCCCACACACTGGTTTTTTTTGATGGGCTAGCTGGGAGAAGGGATCGTGCAATGAGGTAACAAGACCATTCAGGTAAGAGCAAGAAAGGAGTGTGCATAGCAACATTAAGTGGTGTGCAGTGATATTTTTGGTTTGAGTAGAAAAGAGGTTGGATTGAATTTATATCTGACTTCTAGCTTTCTTTAGAAGCATCATTAGGAACACTGCACATAGAATTATTTGCCCTGCCTGATGGCTCAATGTTCACACGTCCGTGCACGTGAAGTAGGTACACAGTGCTGTATAACAAGAGGCTGTGGCTGAGAAAGTGCAAGCAGTTTTGCCAAGAGATACTTGGCTTTGATGTTTAACAAGGCAAACATTTATAAGTTCATGACATTGCTCATCTATATGTTCATTTCTGCAATCAGGATGGGGGTTGAATGCTTGAATAACTTTTTTTTTGTGTTGTTTTTTTAATCTTTCAGGCACCACCTTCCATGGTCAATAATGAACAGCGCCAACACGCTGAGCACATATTCTTATCATTTAGAAAATCAAAATCACCATTTGCTGTTTGCAAACACATATTGGGTAAGTTTTAATAAATGAAGTTAGGCATGTATATGCTTTTATAACTTGAACTGTGCTGTTCTTCTGCAGCTGGGAATGTGAACATCAGTTTTTATTTTCATGAGGGATACCTTTTGATGGAGGGGGAACCCTAATGTTGCCCTTTTCTGTTTTGTTTGCGTTAGCTTCAGAGCTGTAAGGAGTAACTTCATGTAGCTAAGTTCCTAAACTGATTTAATAGATTCAGGTTTCATCTGTGACGTGATTATTGTAATACTGTCTGATCTGTGAAGCTTGTACAACTGCCCACAGTGTGATTGCTTGACTTTGGGCGTCCCATTAAATCAGCCAGCGATACAAATTTTTGCACTTTTACCGGCTTTTCCATTTGTGTTGAAATTTCCCATGGTGAGAATTTATTTCAGGTTGAATGACTTAGTCACTGTTGACAGCCCAACACTTTTGTTAAAATAAAAGAAAAAAAAGGTTAGAAAAGTTTATGTCCACCTGGCAGAAGTAGTAGGGTATTGACTTGAAATTTTGTGTGAGAAAGCAAAGAGGCAGATAGTTATCACCCATTATCAGAAATCTCTTTGCTTTTAATGGAAATACTGTAAATGTGTCTGTGTAGCAAGTCTTTAAAAATAAATCTGTTTATAGGTTTAGAAAGAAATCTGTTTTGGCAGGTAAATAATCTGAACAAAAGGAGGCATGTAAGATTGCTGCTCAGCACCATTGTACCAACCAGATGCGACTGTTGGGGACAGGCAAGGGGCAAGTTTCAGTGAAAGCCAACTCCAGGACCTGATGAGGGAAACTTGGAAGTTTATGCAAAGAACACACACCAAAACCACAGAAGGCAATTTTTCTTTGAAACAATTTGCCAGAATGAACAGAGAAATGTTGGAATTATGTAAAAAAAAATTCTTTTCATCCTTAATTCATTCCACAGTCTTTTTTAAGAGTTATTTCTAAATGTACTGGATTGCAGACATACAACTCATGAATATTGTGGTGTCAATATTGCAGGCCTACTGCTGTGTTGTTATATTATGCTGTGAGATACATAGAGCAGGATGTGCTTCCTTTCCTACACTCACTCCACAATCAAATTTTTTTTCTACAAATTAGTTTCTTCTGGTTTCACTATACTATAGTAGTACTTCATCTGGTCCTGAAGACTGCAATCACACTTTTTGCTTTATGGCCTCACAAAATTCATGCTTTTTATTCTCACATTGATTTTTAGAGAATTTCAGGTGGGCAGAAACATACTTAGGTAACTTTGTTTGCAGACCATTTTGATCTAAGTGATATGTTCATCACCAGTCAGGAATAAATAATGAAATTTCCTTATGTCACTCTACCTTTTTTTCCAAGAATGGACTTCAATTTAGCATTAATAACCTGCTGTCATTGCAGCCATTTTTTTTTCTCAAATATGGATGGTTGGAAGGAATATGATGCTGATTTTAACACCTTTTGGGTGTCTAGAAATATTACATCCTTAAACTGTTTATATGCTACCACCATCAAGAAGTCAGTGGAGCAGGTTTTTCCTGGAAGTGTAGGCAGTTACCGTGCAGAGACTTGGAACTGAAAGACTTTTTCCAGAACTTTGTCCTTCCTCGGTAAATATTTGTACAGTCTGGATAGGAAGAACAGTTAGTTAAAACTTGGGAGTTGAGAAGGGAGAGACAGGTGTTTGAAATCAGGAACCAGGGAATGGAAACAAGCTGTTCATGATGGAGAAGAAAAGAGTTCAAGTGTACTGAAGGGGTATGTGCAGGTAAGAATGTGCAAGAGCCAAAGGATCAAAGTAGATGGCTTTAAAAAGAAACACAAACAAATGGTCAAGACAGGAAGTGGAATGGAGGTAGAGAGAGATAACAAGGATGTTGATGTCATTCATGGGAAGAAGAGTGTGTGAATGGTGCTGGGAGAGCAATGGAGATGACGAGCACAAGGGGAAGGGGAGCAGCCACTACCATGCAGTTTCTTTAAAAACCTGCAGTTGAACCCAGGAAGCATGAGGCTCTACGTTCTTCTGCTGTAAGCTTATACCTGTTCAGTGTACTGGCAGAACTTGTCCTTCCTTTCTTTAGTAACTTCATGTAGAGGATAGTGGTGCTCTGGCTAGTTATAAACTTACACTGGGGGCTGGAGGTCTGTGCTGTTAATGATTGCAGTTGTGCATCTGCAGTACTTGATGCAAAGGAGAAATTCCATCCTTTTTTAATAGCATTCTCTTTTTTGTGTGAGCTTTGCAACAGTTAGAAAAGCCAAAGACCCAGAAGTTAACAAATGCCAGAATTATAATTCTCATGTAGAAATAAAACAGCTCGGGTTTATATGTGTGTTTAGACAAACACATTAATCGTTTATTTAAGTGGTTACTTAGTTTTCCAAATTAGGCGAAATAGATTTAAAGGTGGTTTATTTTGATTTAATCATGTTTACCTGTGTAGGGTTGAGATGTGGAAGTCTGATTTATATTATGAACTTGTGTACTTGTGTATATGTAATTGGGGGAAGAAAGTTTAGTTCGTAGTAATTTAAAACCTAAATCTCATGACTGAGGTTTTTTCAAACAAACCCAGTTTTTCTAGTCCTGGCAGGTCACCCACCATAGCTCAAACTCTGCTTCTTGTTCATGAATTTCATTTCACCATTTCATATTTCATACTTTTGCCACCCTGTGGCTACACTGTTTCTGAATGTTCCTTCTGTGTTTCAGAATGTTTTGAATCTGGCTACTGAGATGCTACCTGCTATTTCCAAATTACAATTTTTAAAAGCAAAGGAATAACAAAAAAAGTCTCTGTAGCTTTCTGTCATCATAGAAATTATATTTGTATTCTGGCATTTCCCTTTAAATTATACTTTGTAGTCACCCAAACTGTCAACTTTTTCCATAACACATTTTCTATTTTCTATAGTGCTTCTGTATATATAGTAATCCCATATTCAGATAAAAAGGGCTAATGATTCCTGCACTGTGGTTGAAAGTTATATTTTGATTACCTCAAGATAAATATGGAAGCTTGAACATGATGTAGGAATCTTGAAATACATCAGTCTGTAAGATTTTTGCTTTTATAATTAAACCCAAATGTTACCTTTAGGTGTAAGTGGACTTGCTTGTCTTTGTCATCCATAAAATACGTGTAGTTTTATGCGCAAAGCAAGCACCAAATTTCCAGTTCTGATATGCCTGTCATACTATAATTTGTATTCATTAATGTACTGGGACTAAATCTGTCATCTTGATTTTGTTCCACAGTCATGTTAGCATTCTTATTCCTGATCTTTGGCCCAACCTCCTAGCACAGCCAACTTTTCTCCTAAGTCACTGACTCAAATAATATTGGACAATTTGATAATTGGGTTATTGAATATTTTCCCCCTTTTGAGTTAAGTTCTTTTTTTTAATAGCAACATAATTCATTTAGTAATAAATAATAGAAAATCCCATTAATATTTTTTGGAAATACATTGAAGCTAAATACACACATGTCTTCTAATATTCAATTTGTCTTTGTTTTCCCCCCACAGAAACTAGTAAAGTGGACTATGTCCTTTTTCAAGCTGCTACAGCGATAATGGAAGCAGTTGTAAGAGAGTGGATTCTCTTAGAAAAAACTAGCATCGAGTCACTGCGAACATTCCTTCTAACCTATGTCTTACAAAGGCCTAAGTAAGTATAGAAAACATAGGTCTGAGTGTGTAGGACTCAGCATAAAGTTTGGGTTTGCCTTTTGTTTTCTAGGGTAGCAGTGGAAGACCATTTTAACAGTAATTTGTCTTCCATTCTTAGCAGTTAACTTCTGTAGAGTTGTCAGCTTTCCCTTAGGAATTCACACAAAAGATTTGATAAAAAAAATGTGTTTCAAATTTTGTTGAGCATCAATGTCCAGACTTACCTGCAAATACATTTGTGTGCTGTTGTTTACAGCCTACAGAAGTACGTTCGGGAGCAGATTTTACTAGCAGTAGCGGTGATAGTGAAACGGGGATCATTAGACAAATCAATCGACTGCAAAAGCATTTTTCATGAAGTCAGCCAGCTGATCAGCAGTGGTAACCCCACTGTGGTAAGTACTTATTCTTTTCCTTCAAAATTTAAGCAAAATCTGTATCAGCAGTTTAAGTTATATACTTGGTGACTCTGAAATATTTTATACTTCTCCAGTTAGTAATTAAGTTGATACCTATTCAAGCAATCACTTACCAAGTAGGAGTTTTTTTAATGTTTTGAGACTTTGTTTCTCTGGATTTCTTTAAAAAACTATCATGATCTGAAAAGGATTTTCCATTAGCTGAGAGGTTCTTTGCACACTCAGTTCCCCTTCCATCTGTGCACAGTGCTGCACTCTCCTGTGGCTCAGCTGTCGGAATAGGCTACTGAGCAAGGGGCACAGGACTCTGCTGTTCTCTGGGAGACGAGTAGGTGGAGAGAAAGGGGTGTGAGGAAGTAAAACATGGAATGGAAATACAAAACTTATTCTTGATTTAATGTCATACTACTAAGGGTAAGTGTTACCTTCGATACTGAGCTCGAAGTGGAAACAAGGTGTCCAATATCTATCTATGCATTTAGTGAAATTCCGTTTGCTATGCCAGGGGATAAGTTTAGAATAGGTCATAATAGAGGCATGTAACTAGAGATTAAAGAGAGGTGATTTTTTCTCCTACCGAATGAAAATCAAAGAGTACATAAATTCCATGCTGAAACTTTAACTGAAGCTTTTCTCAAACAAAAACCTTGAGGGAACTGGATGTAACACCGCTGAGCGTTTACAGCAACAGTTGCACTAGATGTGAGTGGCAAGTGCTTAACTCTGAAAATTCAATCAAAGTGTACTAGAAGTAATGCAGCTCATGTCATGGTCCTAAAAATAGTGTGTTACCTCTGAGCAGAAGCAACATCTCTCCAGGGTATGGAAATTTCAGTTACGCTTGCAAATCTTAATTTTGCAGTTATTTAGCTTAAGGAGAACATTTTAGCCTTTTGGTGGTGCGTAATTTGGAGAGAAGTGGGTGTTAGAACAATTGAGTTAATGCTTTTTTTTCCCAGGGTGCATAGTCTTGTTTTTAAAATGTGAGGTTTTCAAGTTTCGTGCATGACATTTTGTATGCTCATGTAGTTTATGGGATCTTTCCATAAAAATACAAAAGTGTAGTAAATAAAAACCTGGATGTTGTCGGAGAAGTCGTGGTTGAGCTAACTCTTGCGTGGTCCAACTTCTGTAGTTGCATTCTGTGCATGCACTGGTATACAGACACACTGCACTGAACGCAGCACGCAGCAAGCTAAGTCTGCCTGCTCCAAGTATATCATCCTGGGCGTGCTGCGGAACAGAGTACATTGCAGAGCAGCTCTGGCTTGGGGACGGAGCAGTATTTCACTCTTCTTCAAGCTCAGCTTGCTGCCAAGTTTGGCTCAGTTTTTAATTTCCCTTTATCCACCTCTCTTCACAAGTATTTCTTTCTCCATGATTTTTCCAAAGTATTTCTGCTCAAGTTTTAAGAATTATATTGAAAATGTCTGAGGTATAATGACACTTTAGATTCTGGTATGCTAATATGGCTTACTAGCAAAAAATGACATGTGATGCTGCTAGAGCATCTTTTCTGTCTTTGGCAAACCGGATATAAGCACATGCTCCTACTTATATATGAGGGTTTACATTATAAAATAGTTCTTGTAGCTTTCTGAGACTTCACTGCAAGAGAGACTCTGGTACTGGCACAGCTTCATGTGATGCAGGACTGACATGTGCAATAATAAGCAATAATAACATGGTGTGTTAGCACAGTACCTGCCACAACTGCACTCTGAGTGGGTTCAGGGTATGCCTCTTGCATAAATATATAGCGGCCTTGAAATGTTCATACAGTGAATTATCTAATTATCTTTTCAAATGTGGCTGGGTGACTTTTATGTCTTTTTTTACTAGTGCCTCTGTAATATTCAGCTGTGCCCATGAGGCTCTGGAGGATCTAAGTGGTGCAGTTGCCTTGCTGCTATGTGGAGTGTCAACTGAGGGTGCTTCAGGATATAGTGTGAAGCTAAGGGAGTGCTTCTGCTTTCAGAGTCCAAGGTGTGCCCTCAGGACAGTGCCATGCACTGTCACAGGTGTTTCTGGATATGTGTCTGTGTTAGTTACTTGTAAAAACAGCCCTCCATTCAAGTCAGGGAGGAGGCTAGGATACTGGTGTCAGGAGACTTTAGCAGATGTTTTCCATCCCACTGTGCCTCCCTGACTTCTTCCACTTTTTTGACATGGCTTTCCTGTGGTGTGATGTGCCTCTTACCTCAAGTTTCAGAAGTCTGTCATACCTTTGTGACTCCTAATTCTCTGTCGAGTCTCTTAGTCACTTGTTGCATCTCCTTCTCTGAAGCTCCCTGCCCCTTCTTTACCTTACAAGAATCAAGAAGGTACTTAAGATTTTCTATTCTCTGCAACCCTCCACTCAGTTTCTGTCAGACAACTGTATTAGTTCTGTGATCATTAAGCAGTGCTGCTTCATGAAATCTTTGGGACTTTTCAGTAGCATATTGTCAGGGTCAAGTCCTGAAGGTTAATGTAAAAAGAAGGGCAGCAAATTTAGATGGTATCATGTCTTTCATGTGTGTCCTGTTGCAGGATTTGATATGCTAAATACATTAACTTCTTGATCTTTAGTTAAAAATATCTGTAGAAAGGGACGTATTTTGAGGGTGGAATTTGAATGAATGTTGAGTAATATGGCAAACTGATTTGTGGTCAAGACTGATGGATGAACTGTTGAGAAAGAAAAAATGAAAATGAGATTGGAAGGAAGATAAGGAGAGGAATAGTTACAAGAGGAAGAAAGTGAGCAGGAGATGAAGAAGATGGCTTTGGTATTGAGTTGTCTTTTAATAGTGGAACACAGTCTATGTGTTAAGGAAATAACAGGGCACTAAGGAGAGGTAATGCAACAGGGATGGGAAGGATGTATGATTAGAGCCAGGGTTTGAACCTGGAGTGTTGGATTCTGCTGCTGGTTCTCTGCCATATAGCCCTTTATGGATCTCATGGAAGAAACCTTTGAGAAGGGAAAGCGAACTTTGAGACTGGCTGCCTATTTATTTATGCTTGAGTTTAGGTAATAATCCTCTGGGAGGATAAGGATTAGCTTTGGTGTTCCTGGGTTTGTTTTTCCTGGCTCCTCCTGTAACATCAGTACACACCATCCTCCTGCTCATGAAGGAGAGTCTGCAATCTCCCTCCAATAGCAATTTCAGGATCTCTTTTCAAAATCTTCATCTCTGGGGAGCAGAGCTTCTGGCCGTAGACACAGTACCATGAGCCAGTCTTAAAATGCTAAATACATGTTTTCCATCACTGATTTCAAGATTTTGGAGATTTGTGTGGGCCAAATTCTTCTCAACTATAAATGTGTTCCATTTCTTGGTCTTTTCTTTTTGTGCTAGAATATTTTTTTGCATAGCTGAAGGATTTCATTTGTCCTTCATCCCTCCCAGAAGGACAGGAATCCTGGCAGCTAAGGTGACTGATTCCCAGGAGGAGGATCTGGTCTGCACGTGAACACAATCAGATGGGCTTTGTTTAAAACTGGACTAGGATATGGGTCACACCTCAATTTCTTCCAGAATATGTGTAGGCAGATGCAGAGGGGTCCAGCTGCTTTTAAAATTTATAAATCTGTTCTGTTTCCCAGTGTTCGTAGTTGGGCTAGGGAGAAATCCAGATGCTTCAGGTTACCTAAAACTTCTGAAGGATGTGCTATGAATGGATTTCATGTGAGCAGTGGGAAGTATAAATAAGTAAAACTCCATGCATTCATCTTCATTGAGATTTATCAATCCATTAAAATGGCTGCATAGATAACTAGCTGCATTTATTTAGCGTTTATGGTTCTTATTTCTATTCTTTAAAAGGAATTTTACTTCTGGAACTCTGTCTAGCTGCTGTTGTCTCATGTGGTAAAGTGGTAGTTGGAGAGGCTCTCCTGACTTTTGCATTTTGACAAAAATGTATATATATTATTCCCTCCCCGAGCTGTATCTTCTGGTCTAATAAAATTGTTACCTTGTTCTATGAACCTCACTGCCCTTGAAACATGTGAAGTATAGAAACCAGATGGTAAACCAGGATATTTAAGCTGTTCTTTCATGCTGACAACTGCTCTATATAGGCCTAAGTGTGTTAAAGATTGGTTTGGGAATTTTGGGGATCCGTGAAACTACTCCAAATACGAGGTTAAAACTTGGTAATGGAAATGTAAGAGAACTCTAAAACATAAGTATTTTTTTAGTGGTTGTATTAATCTGGGAGACTCTGCAGTTTTCAGATTTTTCTGTTAAAAAGAGAGCCTGCTTTACTGGAGATGCAGCACAGCAAGACCCCAGCTGAGCTGCTTAATAACTTTAATATTAGAAGTTGATAGCTCCCAGTATTATAATTTACACTAGAGCAACAGCTTCAAAGACAGGGCTGGGAAGTGAGCAGATGTGTTTCAGTGGAGAGGTGTGCATCTAGGATTTCTTCATTTCCTCAATTTTTGCCATTTCATGAGAGGTGCACCTGTAGAGTCTCTCACCTGTGACCTCAGAGACTCACTGGGAAAGAAGATTTTGCGAAAACAGAGAAATTCTTTTCATGTGTTTTCACCCGTATTTCTTTTATTACAGTGGTTGCACACAAATAAACAAGCTTGAGAGAAAAATCCTCTTTAAGACGTTTGTTGACCCTAGTTGCTTGGTCTTTAGTCCCATTTCCTCTCAGAGGTACCACCCTTTGGAATATGTATGTTCATCAATAAACTGCATCTTTGTGGGAGTCTGCTTAAAAGCAGCCAGCCTTCTCCTTCATAACCTCTTACTGTTTTTTCTCTGGGCAGATCTGTGGAGCACAGCCATGTAACACAGCTCTTTTGGCATATCTGACAGTATGGGAGGCAGAGGCAGGCCAGAAAGACCAGGAATGAGTACTGGGAAAAGTGGGGGAAGTGGGGACACCTGCCCACCAAGGAGAACTTGTCAGGATGGTGTATATTTAAAGCTGGAGGATACTGATGGCAAGCTGCGTGGCTCGTCTTACTA